TTAAACCAGCGTCCACAGAAAGCCTCTCCTATTGTTTACCACACTAGCATGCCACTCCCACCTGTATTTTCAATAGTACAAGTCAGATGGGCCTCCGCGTGAAGACTGCTCTTAGCCAGAATCTATGTCCTAGGCAAAGCCTCCCAACTATTCTTCTGTTAAGTTCGCATCTACAGGTATAAACGTGCGCTAAAGAAGCATTAACTTCGTTTCATACGAATCGCAACGACATTTATCGGTGTTGGTCCTCCAGTGTTGCTTCCTATGCTGGCTACACAACTCTTGCAAGCTTTCTTAGTTAGCCCGTTCCTCTGCTTTCACCATTGTCATATTGCTGATCCACTATCGCAAACACACATACAGACTTTACCTAAATTACAGCCATTATATTTGTACACGTCCACTTAATTTGTCTGCGAGCATGTAAGAGAAACACGAAGCAATCAAATAGTTTAGATACCTCAGGAAGACATCAAAATTAGGTTAATTAGGCAAAATTGCAGCTAAATATAAGTCATGTCAGTATATTTGGTGAATTTGGCCGAAGAATGGTAATAAAGCCGGTTGCCATTTATATGCAATTAGAGCAAAAAAGGTTAAACAAATAATTATTTAAGTCATACATATAATTTATTTTTAAATAGACATGTAAAGAAAAGCTGGGTTGAGGAAGCTCTTGGCCCATAATTGCTGAACTGATTTCTATTTCGAGTGAAAATATTTTGTGAGGAGATTAGAAGGCCGATTTCAACAGAAGATGACGACGGATTCCTCTTGATCAGCAGTCGATTGGCCTTACGAGAACATTCTTTTTGATGCTGTTTCCCAGACAAGCTTCGATTCCGGTGGAAATATTCTAAGCGCTTGCCCGTCGTATGACGAACATCATCAGAGCAGGGTATCATCCTTACAACTATATTCAAGTTAATGAGTCAAAAAAACTCAACAGCTCATCCATGTGGTATATATATCCAAAATCTAGGCTCTTTGATGAGGTATAAAGCGATCTGGTTAGTTCAAATCATACACCAACCTTGAAACATGTGAATACGTCTGCGTGTATATGTGCCATCATACGTTCGTATATTTACGAAACCAGCAATGATGGTTCAAAATAATGACGTTACTTTCTTTTTCCTTGGTATCATCAGAGCAAAATGATCGCCTCGCACCGATCCCCTAGGCTGAATTGAAATCAGTCCGATAGCATTTAAGTTGTAGTTGCCAGATAATATAAATACAATAAGGGGACGAATAGAATTTGTCATTGTCTTTATTGTTAGCCAATGCTTTCTATTTCAAAACCAACCACTTTCAATTCAATGTGACTAGTTTAAATACCCATAGCCAGATTGCAAATGTATAATCATCGCAAATTCTGTCGCATGTTTGCAGAGTAAATAGTGGATTACAGTTAAGAATGATAGTGCATTTCATTACTCGATGAAAGTGTACTGTTGGGTTGTTGAAATAACAAGTCCGATGTAGCAATGAATTACGTGGTATAAAACACATTAAAAGAGCTTTTGAAGTGGAATTTTAAGTTAGACAAGAGGTAGCCGGAGGGTAAAATATATATGCGTTTAGTGGTCAAAGTCAATTAAAAAAGTCATTATAAAATAGTAGCAGAAAAAGCTCAATACAAATCAACTAACCTTATTAGTGTTGACAGTATCGAATCCAGCAATTAGGAATATAATATTCCTACAGATCGCAGGTAGTTCACTTTGATGACAGAAAAGAATATCAAGAAGTCTCATTAAAGCGTTCGACGGAAGAAACATTCCGTTTCCAAACCATTCCATGACGGATTGAAGGCTTTGCCCAAATTTAGCTATAAAGCTAATAGGGCCTTTTATGTTTCCAACGTAAGCAACGGGAGCCAGGGCGCCAAAAGCATGAATGCTATTCTGGAGTTCGGGATCTTCATTGAAGCGTGCAAATGCAATTTGGCAACCCTTTTGTGTGGAAAAACAAGTAGAAGAATATTGAACAAGCATATTTATATATTCTTGTTCAAATAACGAAGTAAATCATACTGCGGAGTAGGCAAAGTAATCCCATAAGACCAGACAATACTCGTACCTGGGAATGACCAATGTAAAATATTTTTTCAACAGAAGTGACGCTCTTTATATAATTGATCATCGCAGGAAGATCATATTTAGCCATTTCATCGTATGTGAAGCTCCAATATTCTCGTTTTGATGGATCGAGCACTTTATGCTCCCGAGAATAAGTGCTGCCACGACTATTGCCAAGCCAAACATCATAACCAAGATCCGCCATTATAAAGCCCAAGCTTTGATTAGCAAGATTGTTTATCCAGGTGTGAGCAGAATCCAAAAGTCCGTGTTGTAAAAGTGCAACCTTTTTAGGACGGACTAACAAGATGGGTATATTTAATATCACCATTGATTTACCTTCAAATTTTGGAAGGATCCTTTGAAGACCAAGAATATATCCATCGGCCGTAGTAATAAAATGTTCCTCCCCTGCGTAGCCTTTTGATAGGATAACCTCAAACTTTAAAAATAAGAGAAACAAAACGTACAGCGGTTTGAAATACCTCTGGATCAATTCCATTCTGTTTTGATTCGGGGACAAATAGGAGAGAGGATGGCAATGCAAATGAATGTTCTGAAGATATACATAAAACAATATGAAATGAAATAACAAGGTCCAGAAGAAAGACCATACTTAATCAGCAATCCAATAAAAAACTCGAAGTTGGTTGGCATTTATATACAATTAGAGGACAATAGGTTAAACAAAGAATAACCTAAGCCATACATATAATTTATTTTTAATTAAATTCATAAATATGATTAGTTGATTTTTATAACTCTACATGTATCTGAATTTTATATAAATTCTAAGAAGTCTCAACATAAAAAGTTATTTGAATGTATGAAGACCAAGCTGGTCATATTGGTAGGAAGACTTAGAGGAACGCACCCAGTTCTGAGTCCATTGTATGCATGATCATTTCCAAAGTCGGACCGTGGACGTGGTACATTCCCAGGCGTTTCGCCAGCATCGTCAGTGAGCCTTGCCATTCTTAGCATCATACTCATAAGACTCATTGACGATGCCGACTACGATGCCGGTGAAGCGTCTGGGAATGTACCACGTCCACGGTCCGAATTTGGAAATAATCATGCATACAATGGGCTCCGGACTAGGTGCGTTACTCTAAGTCTTCCTACCAATATGACCAAGTTACGAAAACAAGGTCAAAGACTTCTATAAAAGTTATTGTTAGGCTCTTCTTCTAGTTTAGTAGCCTCAATGGGAGATGATCAAAAACAACTCTGGAAAATATTTAGGTGCTTATGTTATGAATTTTTTCAATTCATACTTCAACATCTGTAAATTACTCAATATCAGTATCATTATCATTTATTATAAAGAATCTTAATTACCTCAGGTGGCTTAGGCTTATAAAGGACTGATGTCCAATTTCCTTTTTATTATATAGATAGGTCTCCCGATGCCCTTTGATTTTACTCAGCCCTGCCTCTCAAAAGTCATTCGAGCCTAGATTAGGATGCAATTTCTTTTTTGTATAGACATATTAAGCAGCTCTAAGAGGAATCATACGCTTTTTGATAAGCTTAAGCTTCCTAAATGTTGCCACTACGTCGCATTGTTACGGATGCTAGTGGGCGACAGAGCACACTTGGCATTCATATAAAAGGAAGCCTTTTCCATCACATATTTTTAGAAAGTTTATCGATTAAGTGCCTTTATCATTTATTAAAAAGAATCTTAATTTTTGCAAACATTAATTCTATTCGTAAGGATTGGGCTCTAGGGAAGTTCAATAGATCTATAATACCACTCTTATTTAGGATCTAAACGCAGTTTTGAAAAATGGCTCATAAACAATTAATCATAGTTGTGACTAACCTAAAAAAATATTAAATGTGTTTAAACTTTATGGGCTTTACTATACCTTTTTATCTCTTTAGCTATATAAAGTGAAGTGATATTCCATATGTATTATATTATAGCCTCAATTAAATCAATAGAATAGTTCATTTTCATACATAAAAATTAAATTATTAGCTTTAAATTGGCCTTGTTGAATTGTTTCAAACATTATGGTATCGTTCGCCGCTTCTGTAATCTAATGAGGAAGCATCATTTTGGCACAGCTAATGATATACTTTAGCACACCTTCATTCAGAACTTAGAGGAAAGTTACGAGACTGAGAGGCATAAACTAGTTAAGTTCATATATATCAGGTCTAAATTAAGGACGAATCTAGGTAGGGTTCTCACTTTCGATGACGGACTAGAAGCCACAGAGGGTCTGGGATCTGATAGATAAGCGGCATGACAAGAAATTACTTAGCTATGGGATAAAATACAATGCAAGACCAAGCCAACCTGGGCAAATTTTGATGGTTGTGTATTAAAGGCATCTACTGCTA